CTAGTGGGTGGGTGGGAGAAGGTCAGGAGAGTCAACCAGATTGGCACTGATATCCACTGCAGATGATCTGTGGGCGGGCATGTCTCTGGTAATTAACCAAAGATGGGAACATTATTCTTGGGGATGTAGGGAAAGTACCACAATTAACTCCCTAACCCAGCTCCCATCTCAGAAGGGAACAACTTCTCCCCAAGAAGTTCCCAAGACCATCAAGGTGCACGGCACCTGTGTTAGGTGCGGGCCTGACGGAGCCGTGACTTGATGTATCAACAAGATATATCTCATCATAAAGCTATCTCAGCAGATCTCGTATTCCAGCTGAGAGAGCCAATGGTTTGACCAGAATTTTGGCAGCTACTTCTGCTGCTGGGGAAACCCAAATGAATAGTAGTTACTCATGGTGTTTTCCTCTGGGGCCTGACTAAGCCTCTGTAACAGTGGTGGCTTAGTTCTGGATTGTGCCCTGAAACTGAGCATGAAGATCCGGACCGTTTCACACACACCCCCCCCCCCCATGTGGCCTCTGATTACACTCCATCATCGTGATCCCCGGCTCTGTTCCATTTCTCCGCCTCAGCGCCTCTGTGGACGACCCAAGGCAGCTGGCTGTGAAGGGGCAGAGAAGGAATGGCCAAAGAGCAAGATGCAACACGACCCAGAGGTCACTCGACATCACAGACGTTTTAACTGGAAAGAATCTTAGTGGTCCTCTGGATCTCTTGGTCTCAACCTCACTGGGGCCGCAGATCTCTTTAGTGATCAGATGAGAGTGCTTGAACGCTTGCTCCAGAAAAACGCACCTCGCCACATTTGGGGTACGATTCCAGGATGTTTCACGACTTCCTGGTACCCATCCGTTTGACGAAGGCTTTTATTTTCAGGTGAGGCTACAGAGACCCCAAGGAGGTACAAGGTCTTGCCCAAGGTTACACAGAGGAGATCATTGAAGTCCAGCTCAGCTCACCTGAGGCCCAATCTAAGACCTGTCGGCAAATACTGGGAAGTTCCCACTGGACATTGAGCCCTCTGTTGAGAATTACAGAAAGTTAGGGTGCTTCCGACCAAGGCAGTAGAACTCCTGCTCACGAAAGGAAACTAAGATCAATTAGTAAGCGATATTCCTGCCATAGTAGATTCCTCTTTGGGAAGTAAAAGCTAATGCCATCCATTAAGTCGGCGGGCACTGATTGAGCGCCTAAGAGCATCTCCCCAAATCTCTATAATCATTGGGAGGTTAATTATTTATTGAAAATTAGAACTCCTTGTAACCTCAGGCCTGAAGAGAGGTTTCAGTCTCAAGCCTCAAGTGATTTCTGTGGCTATGTTCAAGCGGTGGGAACCCCACCCTGGAACAATTACTGTGATGGTGGGAACTCCACCCTGGAACAATTACTGGGATGGTGCTCCGTATTTCCAATGTAAATTAAGTGTCAAGGTAGTGAAGGCCGAGTAGATTCTGCGGCGATCTCTGCTATTCAACAAAGCAGAAAAGTTCCCAGCCTGAGGGGAGTTCCCAAACTCAGTTTTCTCACGACATACATTTTGTAAGTAGTGAGAGGGGAAGCAGTTTCCAGTTTCATCTTTCTGGGAAGAAGCAGGAAGCACTTTTGACTGACATTTATCTTCCCGCTTGGGTGCCGAAAGGCAGCTTTTTATCCCTAGAGGGGTCTGGTTGTGAAGGTTGGAGGCTCGCCCTGAATCTGAGGTTCTCTGCCAGCTCTTGTGTGACCTCAGGCAAAGCTCTTCGCTTCCTTGAGCCTTGGTTTTCTCATCTGAAAAATGAGAATTTTCTCATCTCAGTTCTCTCTCTCAGTGTCCTGATAATGTAGTTTTTTGTTGTTTGCTTGGTTGGTTTTTAATATTTATTTTTGAGAGAGAGAGAGAGAGAGAGAGAGACAGAGCACGAGTGGGGGAGAGGCAGAGAGAGAAGGAGACACAGAATCCGAAGCAGGCTCCAGGCTCCGAGGGGTCAGCCCAGAGCCCTATGCCGGGATCGAACTCACAAGCCGTGAGATCATGACCCGAGCCAAAGTCGGACGCTTAACCGACTGAGCCACCCAGGAGTCCCTGATAATATAATTGCTAATATAAATGGCTCCTCCCCCTGGCTTTATAGTCTATTCTTTCATTGTAGCAAATACTTTATTCTGCCTTGCATCTTACGAAATAGCTTCCTAATCGGTCTTAGTAAATGGTAACTCTGTAAGGGCAGGGATTCAGCCCTCCCTGTCTTTGTAGCCCACAGAGCTGAGGGCAGCAATTTATATACACAGTGTGGCAGTCAGGGCTCGATCAGGAGGCACACGGTAATTTGAATAGAGGGAGTGTAATATAAGGAATTGTTAAACTTTGATAGGTGGAACTATAAAGATGTAAAGGGAACCCCAAAGGGTACCCAAGGCTGAGGGAGAATACAGAAGGAAGAACAGACTCGGAAGAGGTCCTTCTCCATGGCTGTGGGTCTCAGCCTTTACTGGAGAGGCTGTGGTCATAACCCACTGAATGGTGGAGTTTGCGGGTTTTCCTGGACCAGGGCCGGTCCACGGTCGCTAGGCACTGGGAAACAGCCCGCTGGGCACTGGTCAGATGACACTGTTGGGCAGGTGTGTAGAGGCGAGTGCCACAGCCAGTGCAAACCCTGGAACGCACGGTCCTACATGCAGAGGGCCAAGGTGAAGGCCAGGGCTGCAAGGTCACCAGGCAACCATGCGCTCCCGGCGTGCAATTGAGACAGAACGCCACTGAATGTCCCCACTGACGGACTCTGCAGCAGGAGAAGATCCAACACCAGGAAGAGAAGCCCCCTTCCTCCTGCCACGTCCCTCCAGTAAATGACGTAATGTCATAACTGCTATAAAGAAGACGTGCTTCTAGGGTCCAGTGCGTTATCTCAGAGCAGAAACTAACGGGTTAATTCGCAGCTGAGGGGCAATAATGTGATAACTGGTATAATAGGTGATCAAAAATGTTTGGATTAAATTAGGAAAAGCCACACAATCTGTCAGTAACTCCCTTAACCCCTGTTTATTTCCCCTTCCTTCAGTCCCATAAATTTTACCACCAATAAATGCCAAACCTCTCTAACTTCTTTTGTAATTTACTCTCTAGAAGCTCATTTCCCTCTGGGGTATTCCATTTTGTTTTGTTTTCTTTTTTTTTAAATTTTTTTTTTTCAACGTTTATTTATTTTTGCGACAGAGAGAGACAGAGCATGAACGGGGGAGGGGCAGAGAGAGAGGGAGACACAGAATCAGAAACAGGCTCCGGGCTCTGAGCCATCAGCCCAGAGCCTGACGCGGGGCTCGAACTCGCGGACGGCAAGATCGTGACCTGGCTGAAGTCGGACGCTTAACCGACTGCGCCACCCAGGCGCCCCTGTTTTGTTTTCTTAATGAGGCACATGTCTTTCTTCTCTTGGCACATACTTAAAAGAGACTCCGGTAAAGAGAGGGGGTGGGGGAGGAGAGAGAGGAAGAGAGGGGGAGGGAAGGAGACCCATGAGAACAACCTGACACCCAGTATTTCATTTATTTACTTCTTCACTCAAACTTGAACTTGTTTCCATACAATCTCTTTCATTTCAAAGCCATCCACCTGTCCTTCCTGAACACTCTTGAGTGTCCCCAGGCACTTGACCTCAAGTGGCAGTGGAAGGAGCCAGAGCTGATCCGAGAACCGGTCCTTCTCTCCCTTTAAGGAAGAGGCGGTGGCCACCTCAGGTCAGACTGGACAGTCAGTCTCCTTGGACAAATCCGAAACGTCCAGTCCCCGACCATTTTAGAAGAAAGTAGACGACAGAGCAAACATCAGACTTGGAGGATAAATACCAGCACAGATATTATTGGAAAGCATACGGAAAAGACTAATAGTTTAAGTCACGAATCAACCAAGGAGAGTGTAGCATGGAAAGGGTCCTGCAGAGGCTGTCCTGTGGGAGATCATGTTATTAATAGGCACCAATTTGTGTCACGTGTCAAGTCAGTGTTCTTAGGCACACTGTTCTGCCAGAATATTTCATTGTCTTCTGAAGAATCAGATTTAATCAGCGGGCACAGTTGATTTCCCTGGCAGGAATTAGCCAAACGGTGAGGTGGGGATACAGCTAAAGCTAAAATGTCTTCCAAGGATGAAGTGGTTTTGCAAACTTAGTCTGTCTACCAGCCTTCAGCAGGGTTGGGAAGAGCATCCCTTCAGGGTGGAAAAAATGAGAAGGGAGAAAAGTAGAAGAACTTCATCGTCCCACCAGAATTTATATCCAGATATGGAGCTGTCTTACGTATTTCATTGCAAGCGATGGACATTCTGGGCCATTGGAACCTAAAGCGGACGATCAGGGAACCTCTCGCCATTTCTCCGCAAGCTCTCCCTTCTTACTCCTACGTGTCCCAAAGAAATCGTGTTCTTAAATAAACAAAAGTAATACATGGGTTTATTCCTGGGTGATGAGATTGTGGACAATCTCTATTTTCTTCTTTTGGTTTATCTGGTTTTTGTTTTTTTTTTTTTTCTGCCATGGGCATGTGTTGTTTGTGAAGGTAAACATATATAACATTTTTCGTGAAAATGAAACAAAACAAAACACATTTGTCTTCCCTAAATCTTGGGCTCTGTTGCCACTTGTGGTCTTCTATCTAGCCAGACCCTTTGTAGCCTCTTCACGCCCCCTGTTCAGATTCACTGCCAAAAAAAACTCAGCAGTCTTCATTTTTGGAAGAGATTTATTTCTTCACTCTTGGACTTCTAAAAACAGACCACTTTTTCTTCTACTCCTCGCCAGGCGGTGATTGATGCTACACCTGCCTCTGATGTGACAAAATGTAAGCGACGAATAAAAAGCCTTTCATGAGTCTTGCACATGCCAAGGCCGGCAGAAAGCCCCAGCCAGGAGCACTGAGCCATGTGAAGATACTCCGTGGGGTGTTATTCTGCCTCGGGCACAGTCATGCCAACCATAGGCGCCTGGAGATACTAACTTTTGATATGTTGCTCTGCCCTTTCAGATTTTTGACAATGAGGCCAAAGACCTAGAGAGAGAAGTTTGCTTTATTGATATTGCCTGCGATGAAATTCCGGAACGTTACTACAAAGAATCTGAGGTAAGCAGTAAATGTGGGATGATATATAAAAGAGATTCATTCATTCGTTCATTCATTCGTTCATTCATTCATTCAACAGATAGTTATTAAGTCCTAAACCGGGAGACTTTCATCCATCTCTGTGTTGATTCAATTTGGTCTCACATCTTGCTGGATTATTTGATACGAGTCTCAAAATTAAGTTCCTACTCCTCAGGGCCCTGGCCGCCACTCCATTTCAGTTTAGTTTTCCTGTCTCCCCAGCTCTGCCATCATTCCAGGTAGCAAAATATCCCTTAGGCCAAACCATCCAACATACCGGCCTCCAAAAAAACAGCAGTCACCTGTGACTTCCTTTTTTGCCAGGCCCTGCACAACCCGTCTCCCCATCTGCATGCTCTGTGACGGCAGGGGCTGGGTTTTATTTGTATCTTTGGGGTGTGACACAAAGCAAATGCTCTCTCCATCCTCTGAGCGAATACTGAAACTGGAAACAGCTCATCTTAACACAGAACTTTTCTCTCAAAACAGGAAGTGCCTTCGTGAGGGCTTCTCTTTTTTTCCATTCTTGATGGAGAGTAAATCTAAGAGCATGTCTTTTTCTACAGCTTCCCCGCTACTAGAATCCGTCGTGTGCCTCAGTCCATCCAACCTTGTGATTTTACTGTTGGTGCGAGTTGCCATTTATATCCCGTTCGTATTTTATTAATGGCTGCTGGTGGAACTTGCGTGACCCCCCCCCCCCTTGTAAATAACATCCCAGTCCTGCGCTGACAGCAGATGCAGGGCTATTTCTGTTGTTTAGCAACAGGCAGCCAATCACAATATGTTTGGACTCAGGGCCCCAGACTCGTCCTTGAGCCATAACACATGGACCTTGAGACTCTTTCCTCAGATTCATTAAGGCTGATTTAAGACATAATAAATAAACCCGTTAAAAATGAATTCCACTGTTCTACCGACTGGGCTCCCAGTATGGTTTTGGATTCTTTTTTTTTTTTTTTTTTTGCCTCCACATTTGGGGATCTTAACCTGCCCTTAGCAAATGCTTAGCTGTTTGATTGCGGGCGTGAGAGCTCTAGGGCTGATGTCCCTTCTTCAAACGATGGGGAGAGGCTGATGTGACTTACTCTCGGTTGGCCTCCAAGGCTGCGCTTTGTAGCGTCATCCACTGACACCAACACTGTGCAGCCAACCACCCTCATGAATTTTCAGAAAAACAGAGTGAAATGCGCTCTGCGTAACTGGGCCTGCGGAGGAGGAGGAGAAACGTGGCCTCTCCTTGTCTCATCATACGGAGGATGTTCTACGGTTTCATATCAAGTCCCCCAGGACGTACGGGGCTTCGGGGACGCATTAGAGCACCACGCAGCGCAGCGGGGGAAGCTGTGTCCCGTCACTTCCGTGGCTCCTTCGGCCCGGGGTGGGGGGCTGCCGTCTCCCTCTTCGCGAGCTCAGGCCTTCCAGGAAGGCAGAAGACTGAATTAATTTCAGCTCCGCCTCTTAGATTGCTTTGATGTGATCCTGCCTGGGACTCACGGGGATCCCTCTTGATTTGGTGGAAAGTCTTAGGATAAATATGGAAAATGCTAATGACGAAATCAACAAGTCTCATTGCCAGTCAGCGGGTACCCGATTCATCTCCTTGTGCTTTGTGCTCTCAAGAACCGTCCCTGGAAAGCTTCTTTTCATTTACACAGACATTCAAGGAGCTTTTTTCTTCATTCTCCACGGTCGTTCATTTCTCTTGGTCACAAAGTATTCTTTTCTGGATGCGGTTGGCCAGGGAAGCGAGAGGTGAATAGTCATTCATCCAGTCAATGTTTACCGAGCACTCACTGAGCGTCACATAGCAATATTAAGATGGTGACATGGCAGTGAGCAGAAGAGACGCTGAGAGTCCCTTCCCTCAGGACACGTCCAATCTGGCAGGGGAGCCCACAATAGAGAATCACTTGAGTACAGAAGGCGTTAAAAGTCACAAGTGCTATAAAGAAGCATGCCGGGAGAGACCATGATGGGCAAACTGAATTTGAGAGGATGAGAGCAGGAAAGATGTTGTGGAAGAAATGACATACTGAGATCCGCATAATGAAAAGAGCTGGGGGAGAAGGTAAGAGGAGAAGATAACAGCATGTGTGGAGGTCCTGAGGTGACACACGTGAGGGAGCGAAAGAAGGCCAACATGGCAGCAGCAGGAACAAAAGGGTGAATGGCACAAAGAAGATTGGAAAGGAGGATGGGGCCATGTTAAGACACGTAGATTTTCTTCAAGTGCAACGGAATGCCTTTGCAGCAATTAAAGCCAAGCATCATGTGATCTGATCTGTGCTTTTAAAACATTGCTCTGGGGGCCCCTGGGCGGCTCAGTCAGTCAAGCATCAGACTCTTCATTTCAGTTCAGGTCATGATCTCATGGTTCGTGAGATTGAGCCCTGTGTTGGGCTCTACACAGGGAGCGTGGAGACTCCTTGGGATTTTCTCCCTCCCTCTCTCTCTCTCTGCCCCTCCCCTGCTCTTGTGTGCTGTCTCAAAAATAAATAAAGAAACATTTTAAACAATTATGAAAGATGTCTCGGGATGGAAAATGGACTGGAGAGAAGCACAGCAGAAGGCAGGAAACCACTGAGGCCATTGGAGTTATCTGCATTATTGGTTTTTCACCTTATGTGGTGGTTTGAACTAGTGTGGTTGGAAACAGATGGTTTTGGGGGCGATTTTGAAGATAGAATTGGGCCGGGATTGGTCATGCACTGGATGTGAAGATGAGAGAAAAGCAGGTGTCAGGATGACCTTAAGGTTTAATGGATCGGACAACAAGTTGGCAGGGTTGAAGAGTGGATTTCTGAGAAAGATAGATGGATTCTGCGATGCCAACGAGACATCCAAAGCCCAGAGAAATGAGTCTAGAGCGTAGACTAGAGAAATCTGGGCCGGTGACAGTTGCGGGAATATTTGGAAAATCCTGGGGATGAATGAGAGGGAAAAAGCATAAAGTATAAGCAGGAAATGAGTTTGAGTACCAGCATTGAGGGAGGGGGCTGCATGTGGAGATCAGGAAGATGGCGAGGCCCCAGGAATCCAAAGAACCGGGCAGAAAGTTGGAAGGAAGACACGGAGAGTGCACGAAGGAATAGAAGTTTCAGGAGGAAGCGAGTGACCCGTTGCACTGAGCGCTGCCGGGAGGTCCGGTAAGATAAGAATGGAATACTGTCCCATAGAGCGGTGGCTGTCAGCTGGGGGAGTTCACCCCACAAGGACGCTTCCAGTATCTGGAGACATTTTTGATTGTCCCAACTTGGGGACGCTACCAGCAGCTGATGGGTGGAGGACAAAGATGCTGCTAAAGGTACCATAATGGACAGGACAGTGCCCCCTGCCCCCAACAGGGAATTGCCTGGCCCCAAATGGCACTCGTGCCGAGGCTAGTGACACCCTAGGGAAACCCTGCCCTAGAGGAAATGGTCACTGGAGATGAACGGAACTTGGGATCCAGCTCTCCCAGCCTGCCACTCTGGCTCCCACGCAGAGCCAGCCCTGCCTGTCCCGGACTCTCAGGATTTCTTAGCGGCTGTGGAAGAAAGGGGCTCCAGAGCACTCAGCCCTGCACGCTTTCCACCAGGTACCCCTTCCCGGAGGATCCCTGGCCTACACTGCAGGTGGAATGCTTCCTCACTTGCCCTAGCAGTTAGACCACAAAGGAAGAGGCGTAATTGGGAGCCCCCGACAAAATCTCAGGGAAAGTATGCTCCGTGGGACTCCCTCGTGACGCCAACCCCACATCATTCCGCTTCCAGGCTCCAGACCGCATAGGAACCCACCTGAAGGGAGACAAGGGAGTGTCCTAGGCTCACTTGGTTGTGTGTCATCAGCCAGGGGCTGGGGACAAGGGAAGGAGCCGATTCGGAAGGCAAACCACTTCCAAATACGTTTCCACTGGGCACCCTAAATAATTCACATCCTCCTCCCCACCGCAAGAGCTTTCTTCTAAAATGACTGGCCTTGTCATTCTCTGCTTCAGACCCCCTCACTGGCTGGGAGGAAGCCCCGTGCCTCAGCAGGGCCCTCTGCCCTCTCCACTCCCCGGTCCTCCCCACCTCTGCGCCACTCAGCTGGCGAACTTCTCCACTGGGGCCTTTCCTGGGCACCCCACCCCACCCGCGAAAACAAGAGCCATCTTCTCCCATCACCGTACCTGCCCAGCTAGTCCACGGCCAGCACGTGGCAGACGCTTAGGAGACGGTTGTTGAATGAACAAGTGAAAGCCGGGGCAGCCGAGTTGGCTGTGTCAGCATCATAAATAGGAGCACGTTTTCCACGGAGAAAGCTCAGGCGCTCGTGGGCCGACTCCGTTCTGCGATTTTTGATGCTTATGCATTCGGACCAGGGCTATGTGGGTCACCCGTCTCCTCCCAGCTCCGGTCACACGCACCACTGTCCAGGCCCGAGGCAGCGGCCTGAAGCATTTGCTTTCCTCCTCCCGTTTCTCCCTGGAAACCTCCGAGCCACACGAGAGGCGAGAGTGCCTCTCTTCGTTAAGGTGACTGGAGCTGGGAATTTTCCACTGGGTGCCCTCCGCCTGGCGGAGCCTTGTGCCACCACTCACCGGAGATTGAGAAGGACACTCTGGAGACTCGGATCAGGTGACAACACGGTGCTCTCCTTATTCTCGTTTTGCAGTGCTGCTGTCTCCTTGCCACACCAAGGGCCTGAGCTTCAACCCCCAAGAGCCTCTTAGCCTCAGGTTTTGTTCTCATGACCATTGCAAGACTCTGCAAACAAAACAAAACAAAACAAAACAGCGTGATTTCCCAGAAACAGGGGGCACCTCCATTCACCTCAGCACAGCCCCACCAAGGCCCCGCCCCCATCAATCGTAAAGCTCTTTGCATCAAGTCACATTAGCAACCCCCAAAGCAGGAGAGGGGAAGTGAAGCCAAAATCCGAACAGGTTGTGCTTGTCAGGCACTTGATACGTGGGTTCTTTCCTCTGCCAAGATTTCCATCCCAACCCTCTCATG